GAATCTAGAGAGAGGTAGGGGAACAAGACGCACGGTGGTTCCCCTGATGGCTCAGGCAGCTCTGGGATGAGTTGCCCTGGGGACGTGGAACTAAGCGTGAAGCAGTTTAAAAAGTCTTCCCTGGGCTAGAAGAAGAGAACAAAAGCTTTGAGATAAGCTTTGTTAACTGCAGCAGTGCATATTCAGCATAATCCACTGTTGTTTAAAACAAACCAGTTCTTTCTACCCCTCTTTAATATACGAGCGAGCTGTCTTTCCCAGGAAGTCAGGGTCCAGACGTTAAGATTCAGTCTCACAAGACTAAACACCGGCTGAAGATAAATCCTAACCAGAAAAGTCCAGACAGCCAAGGGAATAGAAATTGTCTCAAGGCCAAACACTGGCTCGTGGGAAGGTGCCAACCAGGGAGGCCATGTGCTCCCCGACCCCTACCTAAAACCCCAGCAGATGCTCCCCTTCCCCTCCGTAAAACCCAAGTACATGCTCTCCCTCCCTAACCTACAACCCCAGGTAAAAACCCCTATCTTTTACCCTTCAAGGAGGTGGGTCTGCGTTCTAACTCCCATCACCTCATCTGGCCGTCTTTCAATAACAGTAATCCTCTTTTCTGGCCACAAGCCTATGTTTCAAGTTTTTTCTTCATTGGCCCTACTATGTGGTGGGTAAATGAACCTGTATTTGGGATCGGTAACGATTTGGCAAGCCAGTCAGGAGGCCCTCTGTCCGCAGCTCTGTGGCCTCCAGTCAGCTGGAATGTCCTGGGAAGCAGTGCAGCAGCTGCCTAGGTGATTTGCCTTAGGGACTGTCCCCAGTACTTTCCGTCTGACCCTGCACCACTGACCCTAGTCGCACTTTTCTTGCGGCAAGGAAACAGGCTCTAGATTTGTTTATTTGTTTGTTTTGGCTTCTGGTTTGGAATGGACGTCCTTTTGGTGAGTTTCCTCGTAAAAACTGACCAAATCCTATTTTTCCTTTCTTTCTTTGCCTCTGTTTCAGGGGTTTTGTTCCAGGTTGCTGGAGTTTGCTCAGGAGGGCTCTGACTTTGTTGAAAGGACTAGGGATCTCACTCAGAGAGGACTAACTCTGAGCTCCATCTGTTTTGATACGTGTGTGTGCGTGTGTGTGTGTGTGTATATGTGAATGTGTAGTTTACTTGCCTCTGTTTCAGGGGTTTTGTTCTAGGTCACCAGAGTTTTTTTGGGGGGAACACTGACTTGTTGAAAGCTTGGTTCCATCTGTTTTGACACTTGTGCGGATATGTGTGAATGTATACAATGTGTGTGTGTATAAGCAGTGTCATAATGGGAAACTTGGTTTTGATTCCCAGTGGCAGCCCTCTGAGTTGTGTATTGCCAAATTGAGATGTTTTCAGTTATAAATCTATGAAAAAGAAAAAGATGTAACAATCAAATTTGGGGTCTCAGCTTCCTCTCGTGGTCTTACAGATGCTAATGGAAACAAGTTAACAGAAGAATAAAAAAAGCTATGAAAAAAATAAAGGTATTCTTCTCAACAAGGTGGAAAATTTTAAATGTTTTTTCTTTTTTTAAAAAAATAAGGCAAATAAGACAGTGGAGTAAATAAGACAAATATCAAATTGGGGAAAATAAAGAAGAATTGAAAACTGAAGTGTCACAGGACTCACCCCAGCATGATGGAAATCTTTAGTTAGTTATTAAAAAGAAAAATAGGGTAAATGGAATGGGTATGAATGTGGTTAAATCAAAGGTTTTAATAAAACATTGCCTAAGGTTCGATGGGCTAAAAAGACCCCCTTTTGACTCCCCAACATTAAAGAACCTCAGACATGTGCATTGTATTCACCCCAGTTTAAAAAAATTTTTTTAAGCCAAAAAGTAGAAAACCACAATGAGAAACCTGACCAACAATAATAGTTTGGGTAACAGTTAGGCTGCTAAAGTTGACGAAATTATAAAGATTAAAATGTTTGAGCTAATATTATGTGAAGAGGTCATGTCAACTTTTCCTGAAGGTTTTTTGGAAATGGATGTTATCTTTGGCTGGGAATGCTTTTTCTACACAATATTATAAGAGCGAGACTTAACGATGGAGTCCTAATGGAAGCTATGATTAGAGGTATAAAATTTGATAAAATTTTGTAAAAAATTGCTATATTTAAATGGGCTTTATGTAAAATGATTGCATCTCTTTTGTCTGATTGTATTATAGATTATGTCATGGGATAAACATTGTGTCCCACTGGGAATGTTTCCCCACCTGATATTGTAAAAGCATATAAATCTACCCTTCAAGCAATGTTAATTAAACATGATAAACGAGAACTCACTTTACAATGGCCAATATGGAACAATTTCAGTTTACCCAAACTGGTGTATTTGCATATGCAATTGGAAAAAGCCAGCTATAAAATTAAACAACCAATGGGAAGCCTATTTGAATCTTTTGAGGCTTCTAAATCAAATCAGGAATACCTTACTGCCTCTTTAAAAGAAAATAACTAAACATACAGCAGCCAAAGCCAAATCTGCTGCTCCTCTCCCTTCTCTTGCTGAGCTTCCCCACTTCAATTTCCCTGAAATTCCTGGTCTAAAATTAAGCAAGTGAAAAAAAAGTAAATTTTCGAGATAATTTGAAATTGCAATGGCCATTCTGGGGAACCTCTGTTTCAAGTCCACCTTAGAGTCACCCTTAAAAGAGAGGACTCAAAACAGCTCATAATGGAATGCAGTCTTTGAGTAATATGCAGAAACTTTTAAAAGATGAAATGATTTCAAAAACAGCTCGAAAAACGATCCTTACAGCAAAAAGAAAGGAATCCTTAATAAAAGTCTTTAGCCATATGAACAGGTCACAATTTGGATCCAGCATTCTTTTGCATTTTGTGCCTGAGACATGGTTAAACTTTTGAAGATCTCTGTTTGTGTCCCTCTATATGTAAGTCTTTCTCTATATATTTGTCTGCCTCCAGATGATAAATTTTCTAAAGGATCTCTGTTTAATTGGCTTAAAGTCAGTGCTTATAAATTATTTCTAAATGTAACAGAAACTAACCCAGATGTCTTTCAAGTTAACATGATATAAAATGATCTTTGGTAAGTGAAAGCTTGTTTAAGTTTGCTGGTTTGATTAAGATAAATATGTTTTCAGAGTTATCAACATTAGATATGGTACAAGCATGTTATCTCTGTTACAAAATATGTCAGCAAAAGTTAATAACTTAAAATAATAGCTGATTTTTTCTGACATCTCATGAGGGTTTGGTGGGCAATCAGAATAAAATTATTAGGAACAAGTAAACTAAAAGATGTGAAAAGGAGGAAAATTTTGTGGGAAATTTTTAACAATAATTATGTGTTATAGTGTATGTACTTAAAACAATTCAAGATGATAGCTAACTGCTTTAAAGTCACATGAAGTTTTTGAAAGCAATCTAAACATAATTGTTGAGAACAAATAATCTGGATAAATGAAAATAGGTAAGAGTTTTGGGGTGCACCAATTATGTTTTATGGCATATAGGCTTGAAAATTAGCTTCCAAAATCTTTTTGGTGACTTAAAACTTTAGAGTTTTGCTAAATTAAATGATAAAAATATTATTGAGTATCTACATCATTTGTGCATAGGATAAAATATTAGCAATTGATTACTAAACATAGATTTGTCTGTCTTTGGTTTCTTATCTCAAAGAAACTGAAAGATGTTTAGGTTTATTGATAAACATGTTTTGTGCACGCTAAAGAATTTTCTCTGAGAAAGCATATATTTCTAGAAATTATGTATACAAAGAAAGTAAAATGTATGTTTTCAGTAAAGAGGGGACATAAAATAGAGATATTTTTGTTTGTTTTGTTAAGAAAGATAAATTTGTCCTAACGTACTAGCAAAGAAAAAAAGGAAAAGAGGCGTGGGACAAATTTGGAATGTAAAAAGTAATTGACAGAAGGTTTGTGGAAGTAAAAACCTGAGGAGTTTTGTGCATTGTCAAGTCGGCTGAGATTAAAATGAATGAGTTTCAATATCAAAAGTAAGCTTGTGCAAAATTAGAATTTGGCTTTTTCTCTTAAAAAGATAATTCCCTTGAACTTTTGGTCTGCTCTTGATAAAGAGGTTATAAAAGGTTTTCCTTTGAGTAAGTCTATTTAAAAGACAGAAAATCTATATTTTGTTAAAATAATTTCCTATGTTCAAAACGACTGAAATCTCTCTACTAAGGTGTTTTAGACCATTTTAACTTTCTGATTGCCTTTGACATCGTCTGTTGTCACCTTGCTTGAATGGATAACTAAACATTCTTTCCTATTTGACCAAGTGTTTTAAAACTTTTTGATATTTTTGACAAACGTCTCTCCAAATAAAAGTCTTTCTTTTGACTTAAAAAGAAAACTTTGAAATTTTCAAATCAGCCTTGAGACTTCTCGAAGAATTTGTTCTCTCTTTCTGTAAAGTGGAAGATATCAAACGAATTAGACTTATTTGGTATGTTAAATTACATGGAAGCATTATCAAATAACTGATAATAAGCCTACCTAGGTTATGTTTTATAGGTAAATATTATTAGTAAAAGTGTTTAAAAAATATATAACATTCCAAAAATTCTGATCTGTCCTGGTTGTCAGTCATAGTTCTAGTTATTATCTCAAAGTGTTGTATGTTACAGAAATAGCCAAGTGTCTTTGTCAATTACCATTTTTGAATATTTTGTTATTTGCAGACAGTTGTTTTACTCTGCTGTTTTTGCAAATGTTTCATCTTCAAAGAGATTCCTGGAAAGGACTCTGATGCTTGCTCTAGAGTGCAGGTTTCTGAGAAACTTTCATATTATGAAACTGAGCTGGGTAAAAAATTACAGAACTATAATGAAGAAACTGAGGGCCTCACTAAACTGCTATCAGAAGATCAAGAGTTGATATCATGGGACTGAATAAATTAATGAGCATGATTATAATTTTTATGACTTTGTTTCAAATATTGCTGATTTTTTAATGTTTTGTTTTCAAAGATTCAGGGAAACCTTTTCCTCTTAAGGAACTATGACTTATAGAAATTTGTAAGCAAAACTGAAGCATTTATCCTTTTCTCCCTATCTGATCCCTCCAGAATTTAAATCTCTTGTTGAGTAAGTGTTCCTACTTTCGTGGCAATATAGTTCTTTACACAATTTCAATAAGAATATGTTCTTCTTACAACAGGACACAACTGGAAACACTGGTTATATTACCAAGGCTTTGACTGGAATGTCATATTTGAGAGAAACATAACCTAAACTCAGATATGACCAGACAGCTTTGAGAGGCAAAGATTGAACTTTATGGAATAAAGCCACTTGGAAATATTGGCCTAGTACCTTGCTTACAGGGTTCCCAGCAACCTTACCAGGTGCTTCAAGAAGGTCACTTCCCTGGCAGGTGCAAGAACCCCAGGATATTTTGGGAACCTCAAGTGAAGAGAGGAATTCACCCAAATCAGTAGGTATTGCAGGCAGAGTCTGATGACAAGTCCTTGCCTTGACTTTCTTGGCCTTGAGAGGCTTTAAAGTTCAATCTGAGATTCCTGATAAGAATTTCTGGCAAAGCAGATTTAGAAGAGCCTATGTGATCAATTACTATTCTTGCTGTACTTATGTAAACAATTGGGCCAAGTTTTTTTTTTAACACTAGACTTATTTTGCAAAGCAATGAGTGTTAATTTGGCTATCTTTGGTAAAAATGAGGGAGATTTTAGAGAGAAAAATTATGTTTCAATAGAGACTATGATACACATTTGTGGATGTTGGATTCTGCTTCTGTTAATTGTCTTTGAGGTCTTTGTTTTTTATCTGGAAACTGGACTGGATCCTGGATTCTCGTTTCCTCAAAAATCTGGTACCCATCTGCAAATTAACCTTAATTAACCAAATTAATCAATTTTTTTCTGTCCTTTTCATTTGGAATCACTGAGAACTAAAACCATCCTTTTTCCTGAAGCCCTGCAAACTGAAGCTGGACAGCTTGATGTAAACCTAAGTGAGGGCAACATGATAGCCCATGTTTGGACAATCTTCGTGCCTGTTGCTGTGTAAGCCAGTTAAAAGGTTCACCTGAATGCCTGATGACATCATTGGAGACATTTTAAACTGCAACTGATGCTTCAACCCTGATTTCTAGAGATCTTTTTGACTGGCCATTCCCCTGAGCTCAGAAATTGGTTTATAATTTTCTCCAACCACTAACCTTGTTTTTCTTTTTGTTTCTCTAGAAATGCTTCTTAATAAATATCTGGTTACCTGCTTACACAACGTAGGCCTAACTTTGGGAGACCCTTTCTACGTTCTAGAGATGATCCAAAAGCCCTGGAGGAAACTTGAACTAAGGAACTAGGCACTGTCAGATGTTTCTCTGCACCATCTTTGTCATAGAGACTGGGTCCTATTGAAATCCTGGACTTCATCCCTGCTGGATGGGCCCATACAAGAAACGCCACGGGGAATATGAACCATGCCATAGAAAAACATCACAGCTGGAATCACCCAAACCTTGGGTGACTTCCTACTCTAGACACTCACTTCTCTGAATGGCCAAGTGAATCCCTGACAGACTGCAAGCTGCTGTTCAGAAAATGGCCTTCTAAATACAAGTAATAAATGACTCCCAGGTTCTTACCTTATTTGTTGGAATATAGAAAGCAGGCTACTTGGCTACATCAGATTCACAGGCCTCTTTTCCTAGATTCCCCAAGATTGAGTTCAAGAATGGAGGGGATACTAAAATTTGGGCTGTCTATTTTGCTAATATGCATAGTCATCTATGTAATTATAAAATGTGAACTTACGTGTTGTTCCAAAGCCATTGATCAGAGTACTAAAATATTAGTCATGCAAAGCATCTCTCTCTCCCCCTACTTGGTACCCCAAAATATTGTAAAATAGAGGCAAAACAGTTTTATTCCTCTGATCCTGATCTTTGCCCATTTACAGCAGGAAGTAGCTAGAGTGGTCTTCCCCCCCACTCTCCAAGATTGAGGAATGATCATAAGACAGCGGGGATTGAAACTGAGCATGAAAAGAGGTTAATAAATCTTCCCTGGGCTAGAAGAAGAGAGCCAAAACTTTGAGATAAGCTTTGCTAACTGCAGCTGTGCATATCCACCATAATCAACTGTTGTTTAAAACTAACCAGGTCTTTCTGTCCCTCCTTAGTATATGAGTGAGCTGTCTTTCCCAGGATATCAAGATCCAGACATCAAGATTCAGCCTCAAAGGCCAAATGCAGGCTGAAGACGGAAACTAACCAGAAAAGTCCAGACAGTCAAGGGAAAGAAATTCAGTCTTCAAGGCCAAACACAGGCTGGTGGGAAGGTGCCAGCCAGCATGTCCACATGCTCCCCCTCCCTTACCTAATACCCCAGTACATGCTCTCCCTCACGACCTTTAAAACCCCTTGCATCCCATCTTTCAGGGAGATGGGACAAATTTGAGAGCTCTCATCCCCCGGCTGAGGTCACTTGAAATAAAAACTCTTTCCTTGCCATAAGCCTGGTGTTCCAGTTTTTATTTGGCCCCTCTTGTGTGGCTGGTGAAGAACCTGAGTATGTGTCTGGTAATGTTATGAGAAATAGTTCCAATGTAATGTTAAGAGAAAAGAAGAGAACATGAAACAGCTTGATCCCAGGGTTGCTAAGCTCACGGAAGACGGTACAGCACACTGACCAGAAGTGCACATCCTGGGCTTTTCTACTGGGTTAAAATCCAAGCTCTGACACGCGCCAGTCATGTGACCTTGGGCAAGTTCATCTCTGGATGTCAGTTTTCTATTCTGTTATTTGGGATAAGAATAGTTCCTCTCTCACTAATCATCAAGGAAATGCAAATCAAAACCACAATGAGCTATCACCTCCCACCTGTTAAGATGGCTACTATCAAAAACACAAAAGATAACAAGTGTTGGCAAAGATGTGGAGCCCTGTACCATGCTGGTGAGAATGCAAACCGCTGCAGCCACTGTGGAAAACAGTATGGAGGTTTCTTAAAAAATTGAAAATAGGATTACCATAGGACCCAGCAATCCCACTTCTGGGCCTTTATCCAAAAGGATTAAAATTAGGATCTTGAAGAGACGTCTGTATGGTCACGTTCATTACAGCAATGCTCATAACAGCCTAAAGGTAGAAGCAACCTAAATGCCCATGAATGGGTGAATGGATAAAGAAAATGTGGCATATTCATGCAAAGAAATGTTAGTCACCCTTAAAAATGAAGGAAATTCTGCCCTTTGTGACAACATGGATGAATCTGAGGACATTACGTTAAGTGAATTGTCAGTCACAGAAGAATGAATACTGTATGATTTCACCTATATGAGGCATCTAAATTGTCAGACTTATACAAGCAGAGAGTGGAATGGTGCTGGCCGGGGCTAGGAGGAGGGGAAACAGGGAGTTGCTGTTCAACAGGCATGAAATTTCAGTAATGAAACATGAATAAATTCTAGAGATCTGCTGTACAGCATGGTGCCTATCATTAGCAATACCGTAGTGTGCATTTAAAACTTTGTTAAGAGTGTAGATCTCATGTTAAATGTTCTTACTACAATAAAAAATTAATTAATAAAAAGTAAAAGAATAGTCCCTTCTAATTGGGGAGAAGGGCAGGAATGGGAATGGGGGTTGACTGTTAATGTGTATGGGGTTTCCTCAGGGGTTATTGAAAATTTTCTAAAATTAAATCATGATGATGACTATATGAATCCATAAATATACAAAAAATACTAAACTATTCACCTTAAATGGTAGAATTTATGATATGTGAAATATATCTCAATCAGGCTGTACAAATAATAACTAAAATAATAACAGGAAAGAACAGTCCCTACCTTCTAGGTCTATAGTGAGGATTACGTGAATTAATCTAAAGGAAACTTTTAGGACAGTGCCTGTCACATAGTAGCATGAGCTATGACTATTTCACACATACACCAGGAAAAGACCAGAAGTATGTAACAGTGGTTATGTCCAGGAGGCAGCACAGCGGGCAATTTTTCCTCTTATCTTAC